GGGCGCGCGACCGCAGGAAAAAGGAGAGGAGGAGCGCGCCGAACGGTGACCAATATGGCAGCGCAGAGCAGAAAGGGCAGACCTAGACAGCGAGCGCTTGGGTCATGAGCGGCCGCTCCCCGCACCACGCTTGTTTTTGTGTTTTCGTCACCGTCGTTTTCGTACTCCGGGAGAAACGGGCGCGGCGACTCGAAGGGCGCAGGGAGAAACGGGAAAGGGTGGACGTTGAGTTTCTCTTCTCCACGATAGCGACAAGAAAAGAGAGAGAGAAAAAAAAAGATTGTTTCTGCGTTTGGCCGCTTGCTCTTTTGTGGCGCTAGCAGGCAAGGTTCTCTCCACTCCCGTTTCTCCGCCCCTCCTTTCCCATTTACGGCGGTCGTCTTTTCACGCGACGCGCCAGGCTTTCTCCGTATAGAGGAGGCTATGGTCTCACACCCAAAGTGACAAAGGAACCGAGCTTGCCTGGCTCGGCCGATCCCGCAGCAGTGCTGAGCGGTGGCAGGTCAGGCGTAGAGGGCTCGTTGCGGAGTCCGACCGAGAGCCCCCCCATGGGCACGGCGTAGCAGAGTTGGGCCCGGCCATCGGCGAAGTCTCCTCGCAGGGTGTAGTGGGCCGTCTTTTCGTAAATGGAGGCGTACGCGGAGATCGTGGACGAAGAGAGGGGCCCGGACACGCGTTCGTAGTCCTCGTCGCGACGCTGAGGTGGGGCGACGAGGAGGTGGTGCCCGGGCACCACCTGGGAGTTCGAAAGCAACGTTCGCTGCTGCCAGAAGAAATGCCGAGAAGCTCGCTTCTTAAGAGGGACAAACTAAGATATATATATATATATATATATCTGAATTGAATTGAATCTGAATTGAACCTAAACCCGCAAGTCTCATCCAAATATAGACATTTCTAGTCTAGAAAAATAGGTAAGATTATCCTGAGCTTTACAAATCATGACACCTCCGAATCGCCCGTTCAATCTTTGCTTGCACACCTCTCACAACACAGAGTCTGTATAGACTTCTTTTTATCTCAGTAGTTACCTGTCCGGTGGACAGGGGGCGCTGATACACGCGTCAATTTGGTTCATTTCGGTTTCAGCGGGCTCCCGGCTGTGTGGGTGTATTATGTCGTTTTCGTTTAGCTTTGTGATATAAATGTATCCTTTGTGGTACAGAATCAATAATACAGTGGTAATGGGCCAACTTGAGAAGTGAGACGTAGTTACGACCCTAAATTGTGGACGTTTTAGCGAACACCTTCATCTGGTCATGTTACTCATTCGGCCAGGTTCGGCGGCAAAACCGAAACTACTTAAGTGATGCCGGGGGAGGGTTAACGATGTCCACGGCCGTGCTGGACGCACCCGCTGACACTAGCTTTCATAAAAATGAACTAATGAAGAGACTAATGCATGGAGGCAGTGAAAAAGCAGGTCGACGGCCTGACTAACAATGTGCTGAATTGCACAGAACGGATAAGCACGCCAGTTAAGCGCTCACTGTTCGGCTTTTGAAAACACCAACGTTTTGTTCAAATTGCCGACCGGGAAACCACCCTGTAGTGACGCATGGCATGCAAAACAGAAGCGACATTGCCCCCATGTTTTTTTTTAAAGAAATTAAGCACTCGAGAGACGTTTTGATGATCCATCCTTCAGTAGGAAAATTATTCAGCTATCAGCTTTACTAAAGTATTCACATACCAGCCAGGCACTTAGCCAGAAGGGGAGCCCATCAAATGCCCCCCCCCCCCCCCCTGAAACAATATCCTGGCTACGTGCCTGCTAGCTGCATTTCACAATATTAAACTGTTTAAATTTGTTGATGCATTACAAAAAGTAGTGTCTTCACTTAGTAAATTGATCAAGCTGATTCTGTTCCAACAATACGGATGGCGGCGTTTATATAAAGACTAGAAAGTTCCTAATTGAACATCACGTACTTCGCGATATAATTACATTGACACCAAATTTTGCTTGCATGTTTTTTTTTATTCGGAGCATTAAACAATCAGTCTTCCATAAAAAAACAAAAAAAAAAAACGTTAAAAAAATATTTTCTAGGTAAGCTAGTTTAAACCATACATATCTGATTTTAAACATATTTGGTTTAAAGCAAATCTGATTTGAAGAAAATAAACCTTATTAAATAAAATGTGATTGTGTGAAGATGTTTTATATTCTGTTCAACCCTATGCCCGGCCGCAGCGGACGCTACGAGCCATCGAAGCCAATACAAGACCGTGTGAGTGAAGGTGACCTTGGAAAGGGGGCGCACGCAGTGACGTGCGGAGAGCGGGTGTAGGACAAGATGGTCCTGGACAAAATGATCCCGTTCAAAATGGTCCCGGACAAAATGGTCCCGGACAGAATGCACCCAAGCGCAAGCCCTGACAAAAGGGTCCCAAGCGATTTGTTGACACTTTGGGCGCTCTTTGAAGTTTTAGTGAACAGCTGCTATGGGGTTGTATTCAACATACTTGTAATATGTACTTTAATGTATTTACGTCTAATATATTTTACCACCGTTTCATGTATTTCACCAGCATAGAGCCCCTGTACGACAACCCTTGAAGCTCTGTGCCTGGGAAAATAGGCAACAAGAAGCCACCCAGAAACGTCACCAAAATGTCCGACCACTTGGAAATGGGTCATCCTCATCCGCCTGGGGTTTGGTGCAAACTATATGCACCGTTTGCAGTGTTTGCTTTCAATGCCTGCTCTTGGTCCAGTCACTCTCGATGACCTTTTGATCCCTTGGGTTTATTCCATACGTTATCGGTTAGGAGAATACAACTAGAATATAACTATAGACCAATCTTCAATATATATATTTTTTTTTGTGACCTGAACACTCGATATCGAGATTCGAGAGCATAAAGGGTGTGCATGACTATAAGTGGTTGTCGCTTTCTTTTTTGGGTTTAGTATGCTTTTTTGCATTCCCATAGAAGTGTAGCACTTTTTAGGTTTTGCGCTATGTATGGACACATGAAAATAAAGAGTAATACTATAAGTATGAGCCGCATCAGACTGAAAACTACTGAGTAAGTGAGGTTGCGCTAGGACCCACTTTGGAGAGTGCGAGGAGGTCGAATCCCACGCAGGCCCTGGGATCCGCGGGTACGACGACCCCGAGTCCTAGGCGCGCCTCCACGAGTAGACTGCGAACCATGTCGGTCACCAGCAGGGTGAGCGAGTCGCGTTCCTCGAGGGCCGGATAGGCCCAGTGCAGGAACACGGCGTCCGCACCTAGCGGTTCCAGCAGTGACGCCAGGTTGACCAGAAATCAGAAGCGCTTTCAGCAAGACGGCCGTCACAAACATCCGACTAAATCATTCTAAAAACATCCTAGCGGTTGACACACCCTACATTGAAACCAGAGACAGGCTTCTGCTCGTCCGCAACCTGGTCCGAATTCCGGTGCGCTCATTCCCAGCTACGCCGACAAACGCCTCCGTGGGAACAGTGCATGGCATGGCCGGCGAACACTCTCTACAGGTGATTCGGACTATGGTGGAGGCAAAAGGGACCATCCTGGACATCGCCCGTAAGGGAAAGGGCACATCAATCTTCGTCTTTTTTGAGGGCCCAAGTATGCCTGACCACGTGACTCTGGGCCCGCGGTGGTACAGGGTTTATCCGGCTAAAGAACAAAAAACGACTCAAAGGGATCGCCATCACGACCGGCAGACCTCCATGGAGATGCCCCCACTCACATCAACATCAATATCGGAACCGCCACAAGCAGAAAACAACCCATGGAGAGGCAGACCTACCTTTGCGCGTGTACTCCATGCAGGTCGGGAAACACCGAGCCGGAACGCAGAGCTCTCTGTGGGTCAAAAACCCACCACCCCCACTCGGTGCCACGGTGCAGCTGTGTCGCAACGCAGGGGAGAGAGATCCTCCTCGAGACACGGGGGCACCTGGATCCGTGGAGACATGGATACTCGGGGGCCCCTATCATCGTCAAACTGCGGCCGCAATCGTCCACTCATGCGGTGCAGCCGAGGAGATGGCGGGATGCCCAGACGAGATATGCGCTGCCGATCCGTGCCGTCACCCAGTGAGCGGTCCCAATTGCGGAGAGCGATGACTGGAGGTCGGCATATCGAGCCCTTTGGTTTGCTGGAATCATCCTCCCGCGGTGCATTTTGGCCTGCACGGAGCGAGCCTCCTTTTGGTGACATCGATATGCGACGGACAGGGGCAGTAAGTTGGCCACCGCTTGTTCCGCTGCTCCAAGAAGAACACCAGAGGGAAGAAAAACGTCCTTACACAGACGGGTCCGCCTCCAACGCGTCTGAGAGAAGCCGGAGCGGGAATGACAACAGCAGTAGGCATCCCACGGAACCAACCAGCCTCCCCTGCAAAACAGCTAGTGGGACTCACCCAACCCTCCCGCATACTTCTCTGGCAGGCGACCCCAACCAGCCTCGGCTCCCGGTCTCCCCAAATGATCGCGGCCGTCCCCCTCCCAGTTCGCCTGAGGCGCACGCTGCTGCTCCTCCTCCTCTCTTCTCTACTCTTTCGAGAGGGCATGCGACACCAGCGCGGTGCATGTGCGGACACTCGGGGAATTCCGCGGAGGTGCTGAATAACTTCCACCAAAAGTGTGTAGCGACGGAAATGATCCTTCATCACACCTTCACTCCACTGGTTAAAGAACTGCTCTCAAGTCTGCTCGAGGCTAATCCACAAATGAAGGGAATATCCGACGAAAACCGAACCCCACAGGAAAATACTAGTACTGCCCGACAACTATCAGACACTCAATCATCACAGCCACATTTCCGAGGGACAGAGGAGTTCCCGCTCCTGCCTTCTCGGCGGGAGACGTCTACAACCGCCGATACCGAAGACTTGGTGTCGCCCGTGCGGAGAAATATCAACCGCGATCGACCTCTGCACCAAGACATAGACACACGCATAGACCAGCTGGAAGGCGAGATGCGCGAAGTAAAGCGCTACTTGAAGACCATCCTTGACAGACTCCCACAACCCAACAATGGCCAAGACAAGTAAAGGTTGCATTGTGTGGCAGTGGAATTGTCGAGGCTTGGCTCCGAAGAGGGGACACCTTCACCAGTACCTACAATCCCTACCACCAGAACGCAGACCAGACGTTTTGGCCATACAAGAAACGTGGAAGGCCATCACCATTCCGGGATACCAAGCCTTTAATCACACCAACTTATCAGGGGTCGTACGAGTCACCACGCTAGTGCGACGGAACCTACCAGCACAACTTCATTCAACCGGCATCGAAAACATCGAACACACCTTCATCGAAATCTTGGCGGGCAAGAAGAAGAGCCATCGCAGCACGTTCATCCTCAATGTATACAGTCCTCCGAAGGCACGACACTCGTTTCACCAGCTCCTGCGCGCCGCCATAGACATGGCCAAGGGAAAAGCTCTGCTCATCGTTGGAGACTTTAACGCACCACACATGTCATGGGGCTATCCGCGGGACAGCGCTAAGGGTCGGCAGCTTTGGCAGGACATTGCCACCCTGGGACTGGACCTACTTACAGACCCGACGCAGCCAACTCGGAAAGCCACGGGCGGATACAAAGACACATCACCAGACCTCACACTCGGTCACTGCTTGGACGCAGAATGGCACAACACCCTGGAAACTCTGGGCAGTGACCACTATATCCTCAACATCCTCCTGAGACGCGGCCCTACGAAGCCCATGGGAAGGCCTCTGCGAGTGGTCGAGTGGGACACTTTAAGGCAAGAGCTTGACGAAGTGGACCGAGACGGAGAGATCAAGGACCTGGATCAGTGGACCGCAGGCATCAGAGAAGTTGAAGCCTCAGCCACAAGAAACATTCCCGAGGAAGCAAATCTGACCGCGGCGGACAGTCGGCTCCTGCACCTATGGGAAATGAAGACAAACCTTGAGGCACGCTTAAGGCGAAAGAAAGGAAATCGTCGGCTACGCAAGCGAATCGCAACATTGTACAAGACCATCGAGAGTCACGCCACCTATCTCACAACTAAGCAATGGGAAGACACCTGCAACGAGTTCGAAGGAGCTCCCAACACTCCAAAGACGTGGAACATCCTTCGACATCTCCTCGACCCCGGACAAAGCCGAACCACAGTCCGAAATCAGATGGAGTGTATCCTGAACTCATTCAAGGGAGATGGAAACGAGCTTGTCCAAGAAGTACAAAACAAGTATATCGGACGAGCTCCGCCAACACCTGCGATGGAATACACGGGCCAGCCAAACCTTACGCTAGACGAAGAATTCCGACCCTTCGAAGTCATGGCTGCGATCCGAGAGCTCAAGACCCGCTCCGCTCCAGGACCTGATGGAGTCTCCAACAAGCTACTGCGGCATTTGGATGACAGAGAGATTGACCGGCTAACATCATACTTCAACGTCTGCTGGCAAAAAGGAGAAATCCCAGAATCCTGGAAGACTGCGAAGATGGTGTTTACACCCAAGCCTGGGAAAAAACTTCAACTGGAAGCCCTGCGCCCCATTTCGCTCACGTCCTGTCTCGGGAAGGTCTTGGAGCATGTCGTACTCAATCGCCTTAACAGGTACGCAGAGGCCAACAAAGTCTTCGCGGACACGATGGTCGGGTTCAGACCCAAGCTCTCGACGCAGGACGTGATGCTCCGACTGTATCATCAGATTATGGCAAGGGAATACGCACCCAAAAGGGACACCAGAGCCATACTCGGGCTGGACATCTCCAAAGCATTCGACAATGTCAGCCACGCAGCCATCCTCCGTGGGCTAAACTCCATTGATGTGGGCGAGCGCATCTTCAAATACATACAGAACTTCCTATCAAGTAGGCAGGTGCAGGTCTCGATCGGCGGTTTCCAATCTGACCTGCAAACTCTGGGCGGAGTCGGAACACCGCAAGGAGCAGTGCTCTCTCCGTTTCTCTTCAATATCGCCATGAAAGATTTACCGACGAAACTACAAGGTATCCCCAACCTTCACCACAGCATATACGCAGACGATGTCACTCTGTGGATGGTAGGAGGAAGCGATGGCGCCATCCAAGACTCGCTGCAAGAAGCTATACGCATCGTGGAAGCCTACGCTAAGGAGCGCGGACTAACCTGCTGTCAGGAAAAGTCGGAGTTGCTACTCATGGCCGGCACCACGGTAAAAACTCCCTCAGGCATCATACTGCAGGTCGGAGGCAAAGACGTCCCTCGGGTCCGGCGACTTCGGATACTCGGTCTGTGGTTGCAGGAGGATGGCAAGAACACATACAGCATCGGAGTCCTCCGTAACCACGCACAGCAGGTAGGAAGACTCATAGCAAGAATCGCCGGAAAACGGTACGGGATGAAAGAGCGGAATGTCATTCGCCTTATCAAAGCCTTCGTGATTAGCCGGATTGCCTACATTGCACCCTTCCTGGACTTGACACTCACGGAGAGGGATGCCATCGATCGCATCATCCGCTGCGTATACAAGAAAGCGCTTCACCTAACACCTTCAACAGAGACCAAGCGACTCGAGAAGCTTGGGCTTCACAACACCCTCTCGGAAATCATTGAGGCACAGAGGATAGCCCACTACGAAAGGCTATCTCTGACTACAGCGGGAAGAACCATCCTCACATCTTTGGGCATCAACTACCACCCAACAGGGCACAGTACGCGAGGCTGGCTTCCAAACGAGCTACGCGAGCAACTAAAGATTTCGCCTCTGCCTCGTCACATGCATCCAGTGCACGACGCAGACAGACGCATGGCCAGAGTGAAGGCTCTGGAGAACACTCTACAGCAAGGCTACGACGACTCCGAGGTGACCTATGTCGACGCAGCCTCAGCTGACAGGGGTCGAATGACCCTTGCAGTTACGAATCGCTCCGGCCAAATCCTCACGGCAGGCAGCATGTACACCAGCAACAGTGCAGAGGCAGAGGAGGCAGCCATCGCCTTGGCCCTCACCCTCAGCACCACGAAAGTCATCGTCAGTGACTCCCAGATGGCCATCCGCCAGTACATGCGTGGTCACATCTCTGACAAAGCCCTCAAGATCGCCACTGGTCATCGTCTGATTGACCACCCAGTCCGCATACTGTGGTCTCCAGCCCATGCGTCACTCCCAGGCAACGAGAGTGCTCACAGTGCAGCCTGCGCTCTTACCAACCGGGCTAGCACACCAAGTGAGCACTCGACCTCCGCCACGTGGAACCACGACAACCTCTACACCTTTAAGGGGGTGCTGGACCACTACCGAGTAGAACGCCGAGCCTACCCAGAGGCTCACAGCACTCTCAACAAGGCAGAATCCACCATCCTCCGTCAAGTCCAGACGGAGACCTTCCTCAACCCGGCGCAGTTGCACTCGTGGTACCCAGATACCTACGACCCGTCTTGCAGGAACTGTGGCGAGATCGCTACACTCCACCATATACTCTGGGGGTGTCCGGAGCTGCTTCATCATTCGAAGAATAAGGAGTTCATCAAGCAAGCCAGGCAACCAGGCGCCTGGGAATCCTTCCTGCGGGATCCTGACCCCACGACTCAGAAAATTCTAGTCCAGCTGGCCTCGGACGCCGCCGGGAACATCGCGTTTCGTCTGTCGACCGAGGGGATCGCTTCGTCAAGGGTCTCTCCCTAAGAGAGACTCGGTTGACGCGGGGATCTAACAGTCTTGGACCCAATAAAGTTTACCTCACCTCACCTCACCTCACCAGATTCACCCTCGATCCTAAGAGCCAGAAAAATCTGTATGCCTTCTTCGTTCATCACCGCGTCGGCGTCACGCCGTAATGTCCCGTTTTCGGAAGTCATGCTCCTATTGTTGGTACACACCGTGTGATAGAACAGCAACATATAGATAAATATTACTGCATACAACGATGTTGCTCGCAAATTACAGGGTGGAGGGATTGTCCCCCGAATTGTGTCGCGAACCGGTCGAGGTTCGACTTCGACCAGGTTCGACTTTTTTTATTTTTCTTGTGAAAAGTTCGACAAAGGTTCGATTCAGCTTCGACTGCTATGCGCATGCGCGACAGGCTGGTTAGTTGGCTTCGAATTGGATGGCGATGGCTAAGGAAGGAATTGAGGGCAGCACTAATTGGTTATTTCAATTAATACATTGAAGAAGTGATTAACTTCTTGAGTGATTAGAATTAGTTTATTTTAATTGCAACTGTTCATTAAATTAAAATAACCCTTTGCATAAAAAATATCTCAAACCTAGTCATATTTTTATCAAGGTCTGGCCACACTGTCCACAATGTTAAACCGGTCGAATCTGGTTAAAAGTTCGAAGGTCCGTCGAACCGGTTCGACCCAGTCGAACCCCGAAAGTTCGACCTAAAAATTCGGTTCGACAAAAATTCACGACACCATATACTAAAATGGGGTGCTGGCGATCTAACATAATCCCAAAGGCATTCCTTTTAAGAGCAAAAAGCTGCCAACTTGTCGCTCGTAAAGGAAATGTCTCTAGAAAGCAGCTAGGATCACCCGTATTCCACTTCAGGGTTCAACATCATAAAAATTGCGCTGTTACACCCTTAAAACTCGTTCACACAGTGGCGTTTAACTGCGTTAAGACTGCTTGCGTCAAGTTGTTCCCATGGTGACCCTTACGACTAGCGAATAAGGAGGCGCTGTGCTGCACGACGCGACGCAGCATAACGCAGTCAACGCAACTATGGAGCCTTTAGGGTGTTCCCACACCAGGGAGACTACTACGTTTACGAACGAATGCAATCGGTTGGAACGACGAGTTGCGTGGTAACGAAGCCCCAAACCACCGTGTCGCTATTGCTCGTTCGCAACGCGATACTTGAGCCGTGCTGAACTTTTTCGCTACGTTTGGCAACGAACGGAGCAACCACAACGACGAACCAATCATGGGTCTAGAGAGCTCGGCCGCACGTGTTGCATGCCGGTCGCGGTTCCTGCAATCAGCTGAAAAACATGGCGTCGGCGGTGACTGTAGTCGTGGCTGGCATGGTAAAAGCTCATCGTTCCGCGTAGAGCGCTATCGTTGACTGTGAATTCTCGACGTGTGTTACGATGATAAACCAGCACGGTCTCAGGAGAGAAGATCCATCTGCTCGTGCGTCAATGTCGTGGCGGTACCCTCAAGAGAGTAGAAACGCTCGTGCCGTCGTGTTTGCTTGTCTCGACTTCAGGGGGGCTAGGTTGGACATTTACATGCATTTTAAAAGGGAACGGAAGTGACGTATTGGCGTCTGTTGGTGGAGGAAATTCCCTCCACCAATCAGACGCCACTACGTCACTTCCGTGACCTCTCAAAATGTGCAAGTAAATGCCCAGATTAGGTACCCTGCGGTCCTTTCTTAGCAGTTCTGTCCTCGAACGTTGCCCGGATTTCATATTCTGCGTACTTTATGCTTGTGCTCAAATTCGAAGTACCTACTGGTACGTACTGATTTTGAAGATGTGTATTAAGAGGGTACTTCAACGAAATATGAAATATATCCGTCGTGTACGGAAATAGACTGAATATGATCCATGATATACGTATGTGACAATGGCACGTTTGCATTTTGAGCCTGATGGCTGTATTCTTCGTTATGAACGGCACAGTCTGGAGCAAGCGCTCGGAGGGCAGCCAGGCAGAGCAAATGACATCTGGCGCAATCGTGACGTTCTCGGGACGTGCGAAGCTACGGCGAGGCTGACGTGGTTATGAGCTTAGTCACTTGGTGGCGTCAACTTACCGCCGAATTCAGAAACCTCACTCCAACTACACTCAAACTGAAGTGCCCTTCCACTTCCTCGAGGAAGGCGCTAGGGCCGGCGCTGGCCAATCGCGAGGACGGATCCACCGTCGCGATTGGCCAGCGCCGGCCCTCGCGCCTTCCTCGAGGAAGTGGAGGGGCCCTTCAGTTTGAGTGTAGTTTGAGTGAGGTTTCTGAATTCGGCGGTTAGTAATCATGTTACAACCTAGTCGTTCAAGATGCCCGTGAACTGAACGTCCTCACCAGCATGCCTACCCCGTAACTACAGCGTGCGCGACCCGACTGATCCCGCGCCGCGATGAGTGGTCCGGTTGGCGTGCTCTTGTGTCGCGATGGCAGCAAGGAAGAAGAAAGGTTTGCAGCAGCGGGGACACACTTCCGTACTTCCGCAGAGCGGCTCTGCTCCGTTGTAAGCCTCTAGTTCTAGGTGACACAGGCATCGCCACTACCTGTCAATGTTCCTAGACGGATATTAAAAAGGAGGCTTTAGCGACGTCCACCAGGTGCGATTGTGTGATTAGCGTTAACATTCCTGAACGCTCGGAACGTCTATGTGATCACGAAATCATACATCTACGCTGCTATATCTCTGATAAAATTACGTAATCTCCTGTAGTCATAGAAAAAGCGTGTGGTGAGATTTGCATTATTGGTAAAGTAATGTGTTAAACTCGTGATCTTTGAAGGCGGCGTTCTGCATCTCCTTTTTTAATTCCTTCATTTCTGCGTGCCTATCCTGAAAAAAAAAATTAGCAAAGCTTGAGGCTATAGAAAACTGTCTGTCCATTTTATGTGATGCCAGTGAGTGGCAGCGCCTTCCCCTTTCTTTTTAAAGGCTCCGCGGAAACAGCTGACGGCGTCGGAGAAGTGGCCGCCGTGCTGACGACCCGCTGCACCTGTTGCAGTATTTGCTGGAGTGTGTGTACGCGCGGCGCAGAGCGGTCGTTTCTGTCGCTCCGGTCACAACGGACGCAGTCGTAGCTAACGCGCCCGTTGCAGATGTCTGAAGCAGCCCTTAGCTCTGCGATCAGGCTGATTCACATCCTTAACAGTGAAAAATGTTTGTTGGCAGGTTGCAAAACGAGCAACATCAAAAAGGCCAACAAGTCCACTATTCTTGAAACTCATGGTTCTAGAGCTCTAGTTGAGCTAATCTGCTCGCGGTCCCCGGACTTACGAGCGATCATGACAGGTTTTCGAGCGAGAGGTGCGCGAGCGCATTTACTACTAAGACCTGACGCGCCAACGGTTTCTGAGTGGGGTGTATCGAGAGTTCGAGAGGTTTTGGTACGTACTGTGCTAGAAGGCGACGTGTTCGTGCGCGAACACTTTACTAGACCAATCGAAAGAGCTCTCGCGCAGAGGAGACGCTACGTGGATTTACATCGGCACCCTATTTTACGATTAACTTGTGGGCGCCACCATTTTATTTCTTAATGCGGAGCAGGCGCAATGAACCTTTTGAAAAGCTTGCAGTACCGTCTGCTGCACCAAAAAGAATGCCGGGAACTCAAGGTGCAGCATAACCGCTTGTAGCAGACGACAGAGGCCATCAAAAAGGCGACGGCTAGCAGGAAAGGCGGGTCAGCAACTGCGCTACTCTTTCCCTGTTCAGTGCCTTCCGGGAACAAAAAGAACATGCAGGACTTCTTAAAAAATTGGAAAATATACGTATTTTTGGAATCCTTATCCGTTACTATACAATAAGTCTATAACCCATGTTGAATAACCTGAGAGTCTGAGACTGGAGCAGAAGTGAGCAAATAAGTCGAACGAACAGAAGTCGAAGGAATCTCGTCCTGTCCTTTTCTGCTCCTTCGACTTATTTGTTCACTTCTGCCCCAGTCTCAGGTTATTCAACATGGTTAACATTCACCAGCTCGCCTGCACCCTTACTATATTATCTATAACCCATGTTCACTCGTTTGATGATCCGGATTCCTTTACTAGCGTAAAAGATATAATTCCAGTTTCCCGGGAGCTTCCCTCAGCTCTGCGAATACCGTATACGTCACTGGGTGACCGTCAGGAAAATTTGGTTTTCTCCACAAGATAACGTAGACGTAGACCGGACTTGGTGGACGAGGCGTCAGATATCGCTCCAACAGTGGCACCCTAATGACGTCACGTACCCAAGTCAACAGATGACACTTGACATCTGATATGATGCTACACTGAGCTCTAGCTGTTTTTAATTGAGGCGTACGCCGGCACAGTATGTTATTTGTGCTACCGTATGTTGTGCTAGAGAGGAGAGCTTGAGGGAATCATTTGCACTTTCAATCGGCCGAGCCGCGTCAGGATACGACCGCCAGATAATCTGCGAATACCTTCTCGCCAGCGCCGACCAGAAGGTTGCTGAATGCTGGTCCGCTCGCAGATAAAGGAAGAGAAGAGTGGAAATATAAGCGAAATGAATCACCTTTTGCGCTGGAGGAGCGGTATATCAAGGGACTGCTGAGGAAGGTCGTGGTAAAGGCCAATTAATAGGAAACTCACGATCATAAACTCGTTCCTGGAAGAACTACAACGTCCTAAGACTACACCCGCGAAAATAAAATGCCAAGAATGGATGTGCCGAGTCGAGAGGCCACGCTCGCGCGATCTCTCCTTGCTACTGACTTTGCCAAGCTCCAGGTTCGAATCTTCTTGAGATTATAGTATTTTAGTGCTTCACTTTCTATTTCGTTATAATTTTAATCCGCAGTCGGATCCCACAACCGCATTCGACAACGAATGCGAAACGCGGCGGGACGAGCGGCATAGCTACGATCTTTACCAAACGACAGAAGACCCGAATGTTTTCGAAACCGAAACTGAATCGTAGTGACGTGATGTTGTAGCGTACAACTAACGCAAGAACGCCGATAAATAACTCGACGATTTTATTATTACTAATTTATTATTTTTAGGTCAAATATAGTTGAATATTTGTTCAACCTTTTTACA